AAAAATGCACGACCACCCTCAGCCTACGGCTTACCAAAATTACACAAAGGAGAACCACTAAGGCTGATAGCTAACAAAAAATTTGGAGCAACACACAAATTAGCCAAGCTAATATGTTTGGAGCTTAAGAAGGTAAGCGACAGATTGTCAAACACAGTGAGGCACATGAATTTTCTCAGAGGATCAAAAACATAACAATGGAAGAAACAAAATTACTGGTAAGTTTTGATGTAATTTCTCGAAAAAAGGCACTCACGGCCCTGTTAGAAATTTGGGATCGAGAACAGGATATCCTAGAAGTAAAAAGTATCAGAAGAGAGTCGTTAACACGATTAATCAACTTGACAATCATTACTACCTACTTCACATTCAATTACATCTATGAAGACATTTTGACTTCCTATGGGATCACTTCTCTCACCTCTATTGGCAAATGCATGTATGGACAAATTAAAAGAGAATTCCAATGTGTCCCACTGTTTCCAAGAGTTCTTATACGGTACCTGGGTGACTACTTTGTAATATGGTCGCATGGAAGAGAAAAGTTGGAGGATTTCCTGAAGTTTATGAACAGGGTTGATGAAAAAAATAAATTCATAATCAATGTAGAGGAAGAGGGGTCTTTGGCCTTCCTAGATGTGGAGGTTAATTGCTCTACTGAGACACTCAAGAGGAATAGTTCAGAAAGAAGTCATATGCCGGAATAATACTCATTTCGAATTTCATCACAACTACAGAATAAAGATAGGCATACTGAGAGCATGATCATCATAAGCCTATGCTTAACGGACGTGGAATTCTGGGATGAAGAATTGGAAAAATTGACTCTGATATTCCTCGGTAATGGATATTCGAGAAAAGTTATTCAAAGAATCATACTGGCCGTGAACAGCGGATGTCAGGACGGAGATTATGAAAGAAATAGAAAGATGGAGAAAGATTAACAAAAGTGGATATGTCTACCTTCCTGTGAACAATCTCAAAAACTACAGGCAATACTAAGAAAATGAAATATTCAGGTGACCACGAAGGAAAAAACAACACTCTTCACAAGTCTACCCACGCAGAATAAAAGGTAAACAAGTTGGATTGCTCATGAGTTTATGACAGCATCCGAGGCCTGCTAACAGAAATACATTGGCGAAACTGGAAGAAAAATCGGCATACAAATCAAGGAACATTAAAGGCTTTGCAGGAAAATGGATACTGAAAAATCAGATATAGCGGGACACATCGCAGGGACTAGACACGAGATCAATTGGAAGGCAACAGAAAGAAGGGCCCCATACAGTGAACGCATAAAGAAGCGGAAGATTAGAGAGGCCATTGACATCCTTGGGGGGAAAAAATTAATGAACAGATTGTAAGAAGGCAGAGTTAGTGATAATTTTGCCTATTGCCTAATCAGACTCGGAGAAAACAGGGATGCAACAAGATAAACAAAAAGGAGACGCCTGGATCAAGTATTTATATTAAACCAGAGGAAAAGAGATCGCAAGAAGAGGGTGAAGTTTCGGAAATGAAGCAAAGACGTTTGCAGTGAGAGTAGTCAGCTCGAATAAACAACTACAACTTGAGGGCCCGACGTTTCACGTGACTAAGGAGAGGGATTGGGTCAAAAGAAATCGGGAATTGTGACCAAATGGGCTAATAATCTATTTAAGATGCAGCAGGCGACCAGAGCTAGACGTCCACAGATTGCTCAGGGTACACGAGCTTAATCTAGGAGATGATGCGTAAAGGTAATGCTTAATATCAGCAGGCATGGGAATCAGAACCTAGGCGCTATGGAGATAAGGCGACTTTGTGCGTGCTACTGAAGGCTTGAGAAATAACACCTGGAGTATAAGTACACTGGGGATAGAACCGAGGGAAATCGGCCAGCCAGAAAGGTAAAAAACTGACCCAAGAGGCATGAAGCAGATCCGGACAGGAGACCAGAGCAGGATCAGGCAATCGAAAGGAAGGAGAACAAGACAAATAGCAGGTTTAATGATGCCACGGTAAATTCGCCAAAAGGGCACATCTCTTGTTGAATATACACATATCACAAGTTGTGATAGGACGAGGGCGAGACTAGAGCGTAGGAAATGGATAAAGGTCCAGGACAAAACGAGAAGTGATAGCATAACCATCTCGGCAGAAAGTTGGTCAAGGGAATGAGTTCACTTGTCTCTTTTGACGAGTTGTAGCTTGGTTACTGAGACTGGCAAGACTCACCGATGATGCCGACTACGATGCCGGCATAACTTCTTGGAATGTGCCAAGTCCACGGTCCTAATCTGGAAATCATCATAAATATTATGGACTCCGAACAAGGTTTGTTCCATTAGGTCTTCCTGCTAATATGAGCAAGTTGCGAAACCAAAGTCAAACAACCTCTAGAATTCACTTTTTTCTTTTTAGGCCCCGTAAATCTTGGGGCCTACAACTCGATAATTATTGGCCTTATAAAGTCCGTAAAGAATTTATTTCCAACAAGCTGATATCCAATTGTAAATAATTAATTTTTAGGAGAGCATTACCATAGTTTAATCAGATAAAGTACTTGGGAGACTAATATTATTTTAACAGTTTGAATAAATTTGCTCTAGAAGAGTGAGAATTTTGCGTTTAATAAAGTGATACTTTGCAGTAAAACTTTTTTTTAGCATCCTTAGAGTTCCTCGGTTTTCCTAGATAGGTTATGGAAAACTTTCTCATTGTAGAAACTAAATTGAGTCTTTGAAGAGAAATGAAGAATTTCAAGCAGAATTCAAATTTTTATATTAAGAGTCAAGCCTACTTATTCTTGCATACCCCAGCTTTCTTGCTGATAACGAAATTGGGCCGATTTGCCATTTTTGACTTCTCTTCGAATTCCGCCTTCTTTTTTTCACGCTCCTCTCTCTTGCGTTGTTCCTCTTCTCGCTTTTTGCGCTGTCTCTCCTCCTTCAAAAAGAAAAAAAAAGATTATGTGATGGAGATGCTCATATCTGGCGTAAATAACCGTTATTTTAATGCCCTTATCTAGCAAATTCTCCGGGCTTTGATTTGCTGTAATTTCGCTCTTTGTAAAGATAGGTGACTAGCTAATCAAGGAAAATATATTGAAGATTAACTCACATCTTCGGTTCTCCTCTTCTGGTCATCAATGGCACGTTGTTCAGCCAAGCGCTTTTCCTCTTCTTCCCGCTCCTTCTTTCGTCTCTCCTACATGAGTGTACACAAACGGAAGTCATTTTGAGAATACACGGCCTTTTTCTAAGAGCTGTAGATATGAGTACTAGTTATAGCTGCTTAGAGCAGATCATAGAGTTTACCTTTTTGGCATCCGCATTCACGACTGAGTTGCCATAGGGAGATAATATTGATAACTGCGTGTTATCGTTTC